ACTGGGTAGACCAGCGGTGCTCCTAGCTGTTTTCATTCCCAGAACAGAAGCCCTGTCCCCTCTGGGAAGTCCTCACCAATGACAGGTTGGGTGCCCACTCTTTCTACTGTCCTCATGCTTAAGGCACTAGGAGGACACTCTCGTGCTTGCCTCCTCGCCCCCTTCTGGCTGGGAAGAGGCCTAGCCGACTCCCAGTCCCCAAGTTTGGGATGCCAGCCGACGAGACACCTGCAGAGCTCCACAATACCCCCTAGTTCCTTCTTTCTAGTGTGCTGCCCTGATTACCTTAGCACCTCCCGGACCCTGAGTTCCTGCCCAGGGAAGTTGACTGAGTGGGACAAGGCTGGTGGCACAGAGCCCAGGTCCCTGAGCTGTATGTGTAAACAGGTGAATTATCAGCTGTTGCTCGACACACATGGAGGGCTTCCAGAAAGCTCATGGAGACTTGGTTTTAACTCCATTGCTTCATAAGCGTTTGAAGGCACTTGTGTGTTTATGGTATGTACACTCAAAACTCACTCAGTGCCATGGAGTCAGTTCCAACTCCTAGTGGCCCTCTAGGACACGACAGACCTGCCCCTGCGAGTTTCTGACACTAACTGTGGGTGCGACCGATGATCCCGCAGATAGATCGGTGGGTGGTTTCAAACTGCTGACCTTCCAGTTAGCACCCCAAGGAGCAACCCACTGTGCCACCAGGGCTCCTATAAGTACCCAGGATCAGAAAAAGCGTGGCTGAGCAGCCTGCTGGAAAATGAGTGGCACTTCAGCCATACCCACCACCCACCGAGGAGAGCAAGGCTCTCCGATACCACAGCCTCCCTTGCTGCCCGACCCGTGTGTGCTAAATAAACATCTATTGGTGGCTGGGTGTGTGTGTTGGTTTAGCGCAGTAGTACTAGATAAAAGAGGCGACCCCAAAAAATTGAATGGAGTCTAGGCCCTGCCCTCCCACACCGGACGCTGATGGGAGCAACAAGGAATAAGCTTTTATTGGGTGCTGGCGGCAGACTTCCATGCTTGCTGGTGGCCACAACCACGTCCAGCGCACCCTGCCAGCCGGAGGCCTCGCCTTATGGGCCCCTGGGCTGCCTCAAACGGTAGAGAAAATAAACCCCAGGAACGGCGATGAGTCTCCAGATCCAGGAGTAGTAAAACTCGTGCGTCTCCTGGAAGCCCAGGCCTTGGTAGAGGCCAAGCGCCGATGGCTGCAGCCTGCTAGTGGAAAGCGCCACCTCCTGGTAGCCCTGGTCCCGAGCAAACTGGAGGACAGTCCGAGTGAGGGCTTTGGCCATGCCCTGACCCCGGTGCTCCAAGGCCACGAACAGGTGTAAGAGTTGCAAGCGCTTCCTGTGCAGGGCTGACTCCTCGGCCGGCAGACAGCCCACCATACCCACCACCTGCCCTTCACACTCGACCACCCAGAAGCAGGAGCCCCGCTCGCTGAAGTAGGTTTGGGTGATGTCTGACATGTCTGTGTTCAACGTTATGACTCCAAAGCTGGTCCAGGGGTACTTGGCAATGAACCTCAGGGCAGCAAGCAGGGTGAGGCAGGTCACCAGGGCCAGGACCCAGGAACCAGACACCAGGAGTAGGGCTAGGGGACCCCCAAGGAGGGGCACGAGGACTCGGGGCAGCCTCAGGAGGTAGTGGAAGGTGGGGGAGGTGTACTCATCCAGCCCTTTCCAGAACAGATCCAGGACCCCTTCGCGGTCGCTCTCCTGGTACCTGCGGATGCGGTGAGGAGCCATGGCCAGAGAGCGCGAGGCGGCCCTGAGGGCAGAGAGAGAACCATGTGAGGGCTGAGAGCCCCCATCTCTCCCAACGGTGCCCCCCAGCTTTCCAGGAATGGGGAGACCCTGCTCAAGGCACTCTCTTCTGCTTCCCCCACCCCATATCCCCCCAGGTACACTCCTCAGGGAGCAGCACCTGGCCAAAGGGAGAAGGGACAGCTAGAATCCCTCTCCCACCCACTGGGAGTCCATTCTGACTCATGGTGACCCTCCCTGTGAGACCGAGTAGAACTGCTCTCTGGGGTTCCCGAGGCCTTAGAACACAGCTTCCCAAACTTATTTGGGGTCTCCACTCCCTTCTCAGAAAAAAAAAAGTATTCTGCTCCCCTACAGGCAGTTAAAAATGTTTGTACGATTGCTCATAATCCAGGATAAAGTGTAGGTATCTGCTTTTGTAGCCCCATTGGATCCTTGTCTCACACACGTGCACACGCACGCACAGGGGGTGATGTTTGGAAACATTATTCTAGATCTTCACAGGAGCTGCGTGGGCTGGCTGCCTCATCTTCCTCCCCCTGAGAGGCTAGAGGTTGGGAGCTCCAGCGCTTTAACCACTATCCCACCAGGTGTTTTTTTCAGTCTCTAACTAGTCTCCAACTCATCCACAGCCCTTTGCTGATCAACGGGGATAGGTGTCAATAGACTTTATCTGGAATAAACCCACACGTGTCTGAACGGGGACTCCAGTAGCAGTAGCTTGTGACTTGCCCTCAAGGGTGAAGTACTGGCACAAACTCAGTGCTTAAGGCTTTTAATGCCCGCCCCACCAGCCCTTTCCCCCCATTTACCGGCCCTCTCCGCTTCCTGGTACACTGGCCTGAAGGCCATGTAGTCCCTGTCCCAGGGACATTTCATCACAGGACTCCCGTTTCAGCAAAGGCTCCTTTCTCTGAGTTGCACGTTTTGAAGCTGTGGAAGTGGCAGCAGAGCCAAATACCCAAAAAAAAAAGCCTGCCCTTGAGATATTGAAGACCCTCCCGGGGGGACCGGAGCCCCCCCACACAGCCGCCTGCACTCCCAGCCTCTCACCTGCTGCCACCTGAACTCGGTGTCCTTGAGCCCTTTGGACCTGCTGGAGAACTGCCCTGGGCGGCTCCCCTGCTTAAATCAGGCCGGGACACCTGCCCATTGGCTGTTTCCTGGGTGGTTGATACTTAACCCCAGCCCAGGAGCCCCTTGCCCTCCCTGCTGGGGTTCTGGGAGAGTGAGACCCGCCCCCGGGATCTCAACCTTCCCCTGGGTTCTCTCCTCACAGCCCAGAGTCCAGCCAGGCGACCTGGCACACCGGCCCTTCGCAGCGGGGGCACCTTCCTCTTCCGAGAAAGTGGGTCGTTTTCAGTCCCCCACTTCCCCTCCCAAGATGCGGCACAGTGCACACCGGCTCACACAACCCTTGGGCATCCCCCAAGCCGACCTGAGCTGCCCTGATGGGCCTAGGGTGCGGGGAGGAGGTGTGATAATAATACAATGTGTGGAGACACTTTTTCTGAGAAATGCTGAGGTATTTACCAAAAAAAGAGAATGTTGTCATGGCCACCCACCCCAGCCCACAGCGCCCCATGCACCTCAGCTTTGAGCCAGCTCCACGGCTTCTCAGAGGGGGGCCTTTGGGAGGCACATTTGCAGGCCTCCCTCCTCCGCCAAAGCACTTCTTGGAGGGTTTGAACTGCCAACCTTTGGGGAAGTAGGTAACCGCTTCACCATTTGCCTCAACCAGGGACTGCATTGACTGGATTTGCTGCTGCAGTGGTGCTCAACCTTCCTCATGCCGCGACCTTTTATGGCAGTTCCTCATGTTAGCCCCCAACCATCAAATTATTTTCGTTGCTACTTCATCACTGTCATTTTGCTATTTTTATGAATCAGCATGTAAATAGCTGATAGGCAGGATGTATTTTCATGGTTATAAATCTAACATAATGAAAGCGTAGCGATTCATCACAAAAACAATATGTAATTCTATATGGTGGAAATATTTATTTCTAACTACAAATAAATGAAACGTCTTGAAGCACGGTATAGCATGGGTAACAGTCTTCACACCGGGTACTCCTATGTGGGCCTATCTGCATGTGGATGGACCAGCCCGGAGACAGATAGAGGAGCGGTGTCTCGGTTCCTAAGACCATCAGAAATAGGTGTTTTCCGATGGTCTTAGGTGACCCCTGTGAAAGGGTCATTCAACCCCCCAAGGGGTCTCGACCCACAGGTTGAGAACCGCTGGCTTAAAGTATTGCAGAAAGCCTAAGTGGGGGAGGAAGGCAGAGATTAAAGAAGGCTGGCTGCCCTTGGTGCTAAGTGGAGCTGGGGGCTGAAAGCCTGTGCGTGCGTGTTTCTCTCTCTCTCCCCTCTGGCTGCACCGTGGAGGAAGCAGAGATGGAAGTAGATACCTCCCAGAAACTAGGGCAGCCTAGTAGATATCGAAGCAGATACCTCAGTAAACTGGGCTGCATATTATCTTCAATCAGCTGCCCCAAAAGGTATCCACACAAGAGATACCTGGGGGCTGGCAGAGACCCTACAAGCCACGAAGGTGGCTTGCCCAGAAGCTGAGTCCTGGACCCCCAGAGGTGCAATCAGGGGCAGAAATGGCAGGAGTTAATGGTGAACTGAATGGAGATGAGGACAAGGAAGGGACAGAGGGGACTCAGGTTTCTGACAAGAGCATCCTGGAGTTCCCTAGAGGTCAGGGTAGAGGAAAAGACCATCACCTTCCCAAAGGGCGCTGTCCACCAGCCTCCCTAATGGAGGGCAGCAGCTGGGAGCCAGACCCTGTCGTCAGGTGGGTGACCCTGCTCCAGGGCACATCCCAGTCTTTGGCACCAACAAAGCCCCGGGAGTAGACCTTATCTAACCTGCCTTCTGCATGGTGAATCCAGAGGTAGTTACATTTTTTTCAGTGTACATTTTAACATTTTATTTAGACATTTTAATGGTAAGCCAGACATTGCTGAATTAGATTCCAGAGTACAGTTGGAATCTTCCTAATAAGAGTCTCTGGGTTATGTGTTGGGCTGCTAACCACAAGGTCAGCAGTTTGAAACCACCAGCTGCTCCTCAGGAGGAAGATGCTGTAAAGAGTTACAGTCTTGTCTTCAAACAAGCAGCCATCTAAGTGAAGCACCAACCAAGTCCACATAGGAGAAGTATACAAGCCTATGTGATCCAAGGATTTGCAAATAATATAATCCAAATCCAAAGGAGGGAATGGTATCAGAACTTAGATTGTGAACACCTGACTTGCAGAAGGCTAGGGATGACCGTGGAAACTTGAAATCCATTTATAGGGCCTACACATGGATTAAACCTCCAGTGAATCCCCTCTACCATAGTCTGGTGATGTGAATAGCTCTGTTACCAGACAGAGAGCATTGCTAAATCGATTATGGCAGATGTAGTTAGGTTAAAATGTAATATTTTATCATTTGATCTCCTTTTTCACCCATTTTAAAGTTTTTTTGGTTAAAAAAGTGAAGGGGAAATATATATGGATTAAGCCTCGGGTGAATTCCCTCTGACCATAGATCAGGGATGTGAATCGCCTTGATACCATGCAGAGTATTGGAAGGTGGATTACTGCAGGAGCAGTTAGGTTAAATTTTAACAGCTTATCATTTGATCTCCTGTTGACCCACTTTTAATTTGTTCTAGTTTTTAATATTTTCTGCCTTCTTTTCTATTCCAGTTTTTCCTGTCTTACTTTATCATTATTGTTAGTTATTTTGATTTTGGTATGTTTTTCTGTATGTGAAATCCAGGATAGGTAAATCTATAGAGAAAGTAACTGGATTGGAGGGAGGGGAAAAACGAGGACCTAATGTCGGGGGTTTAAATGGAGAGAAAATGTTTTGAGAAACGATGTACAAGTGCGCTTTACACAATTGATGTGTGTATGGATTGGGAT